GAGAGTTTAATTATGGTCAGGATTGATCTCGACGAAGAACAGATTTTGTTGACTATTCAGTATTTTGAAAAACATATATATCTCACACACTATAGGTCTAATCTATCAGAAAACACCAAAGCATGGATCAAGAAAAATGTGATTTATGTTTTGCGTAAAAGTAAAATCTATAAATGACTTCACAGAGAAAAATTAATAGATAGAAAAATACATACCTACTAGCAGATATATTATTGGATTGCGCAATTCTCAAAGTAGTAATATGTAACTGATACAGCAAATCAACTAAAATTTGCAAAGAACTTCATTAAGCAGGATACACTTCAACACGAAGAGTTCAAAGTCATTTTCTATCTTGAAAATGACTTTATTTGTAGTCTGGGATTTATTACACCTTTCATGAAAAAGATTAGAAAAGATAATATTACGGAGCTCATCATGGACTCGATATTCAAAATAAACCAGCAAAAATTTAAATTGTTTGCTGTAAATAATAACTATAGTGGGTATGGTGTACCTCTAGCATACCTTTTCCTAGACACTTATATCATATCAGAAGACCAAGTATCTGATCTAGCAAACGCAATAAACACACATACTGGTATCTTACGAGAATTCTTTGAAGTATTGTAAAATGAGGGTATTTAACCAAGTTTTATATTACTGGACAAAGATGCTGGAGAGATAGTAGTGACACAAGAAGCTTGGTCATGGATACCAAACATTTAGCTTTATTTATGGCATATTAAGCATGCTATAGAAAAAAAATTAAGTGAGTAAAAATTTCATAGAAGTCAATATATAGCTGAGAAATCTAGTGAAGCTTACCGACAATTTAGCTTTATCGACCCAACATGACTTCCTAGAGATCAAGAAACCTGCAAATGCGCCAAAGAGAAAATTAAGGAAATATTGTAAATGATAAAAAAACACACTCTTTTGCATCCTTTGATATCTTTTGATACAGATCAATTCCTCATATCTTCAGAACTATATACACTTTATACTCAAGAGGCTTATCAATACTGCCAGCAAAAAAATTATGCTGCAGTATGGGGATATCTTTGGTGCAATTGGTACAATTGTAAGGATTGGTAGTTGTTCGTCTATGCCTTATATGTCAATGCAATGCCAATCGCTTGGACAACAATGATTACTGAGTCTTATTGGAGAATACTCAAGTATAATTATAAGTACAATTATAATCGCCCATATCTCAATCAATTAACTCAAATACTAATACAACAACTAGTCAAAGATATGGAGAATATAGTAGCACTTTACCTTAATGGACGTATATTTCCCGCCTGGTGGAATACTTTCAAACAAGAATAATTAGAGCTTAGCCAAAGATCAATCAGTGAGGAAGAAAGATATAATACATATCTAGAAACTTGGATATATTCATGTCCTGTATTTCTAAATAATCACTTTCTGATGTGCAAGTATCTTGTTGCGAAGAAAACCAGTTTGGTGTCAGATTTCTTTCCTCACTTTGTCTTCACAAAGCATTGGCATGATTATCCATTTATCTTCTTTAATATGGATTGCCGTCAGCAAATCAGCATATACAATGATCCTTGGAATAGGTATACGTGAACTATTAGTATACCCACAGCATCTACAAGTAATTCTCATATTACTATTAATTGACGTCAAGGCTCTGAACAAAATAGAGATGTAATAAATAGGATTAGACAGATATTTGAGTTAGGCGCATCTTTATTGGAAGAAAATATGGAAAATGATAGATTCATACAAGAATTCAAAAGAATGACCGAGTCACTTGTACAAGAAATTAACAGATGTTATGAAGTTCTTAATGCAAGGACTCAGCAACATACCATGCAGCGCTCCAGAGATCAACAATTAGCTTTTTGGTTGTGTTGAATACTGATATCTCACAGTTTATATGTTAGTATGAAAAGTATTGTATTTTTTCTTCTGAATGTTAGTAACAATTTAATTAAACTAATACATGTAATACCAAATATAAATATTACCCATTAAACTAAATCCAAAAAAGAAGATCTACATGGGTGGAACTCCAGAAAGACAGAATGTGATCGGAAGTTACATGATCTGTCATTTTTTTCTATTTCACTTTGTTACTAAAGTTTTCTAGTAATAGAAAAAAAATGACAGATCATGTGACTTCCGATCATATTATGTCTTTCCAGAGTTCCGTCTATATAGATCTTCTTTTTTGGAATTAATATAATAGTAATATTATATTTGATATTATCTAGAGAAAAAAGAGAGAAATAACTTAGTATTATACAAGTCAGATCATTAATTCTAAATCTGTTATTAAATTTTTTATATCATATTTATTTAATTTTATATTAAAAAAATATTCTTGTAAAGTCTTTCTTTATTTACATAACTTATAAGTAACTGATTTAAAATATTTCTACTTGTATAGCGATCAATATAAATATCTGGAATTTATTATGATAGGTAAGACATTTTATTTTTATTATTAATATATATAAAAATTTTGTACATATATTCTCAAATATGACTATTAACTATTTACAAAAATTTAATAGTCAATTTTTTTTTCTCCCATTCAATTACTACTAAAACATAATCCTTCATACTTCTTGCTAATTGAAGAAAGAGATTTTTGTTCAAACCTGTCTATTCTATTTGTATTATCATTTGAAATTCTGTTATTGAAAGTTTTTTTTTTGATTAATCATAAATTTACCTTCTTTTCTATCTTTCTCTTAAGTATGACTCACAAATTCTTGATGAGATTAATATCTGGCAAGTAAGAAGTTCAATTAAGAATTCAAACATCATGATAATGAAAAAGATTGATTATTTCATCTATATTATAAATTGAAAAGTTATTTTATTAAAAATATAATCTATAATCTGCTATAGAAATATGAAAAAAAAAGATTTATTTCAAGGATTTCTTGATATTTTTTAGTATTGAAGTTTTCAGTAAACAAGATAAGTACAATTAGTTCTTGCATACTAAAAGTACTCCAAGCATGAATCTTATAGGGATATTTTACCATACTTTTATGTGATCATGATATTTCATGATGATATCTTATTAGCTAAGTATTTCTGAACATTTGAAGGATTATTTTATCAGAAAAAATTATATAAGACCAATTTTGATGAACATGTTTCTGTATCCATTCAAGACAAGCTGTAATATGATGAGGCTGTAAAAGAAAGATCTGCAGTAGATGACAAATATCAAATCAAAGATTTTTTTAAGATATATTGAATTGTATGAATGAAAACTTTCAAGTTAGGATTTTTTTGTTTAAGTTTTTCAGTCATTTTAGTTGCAATAATAGTATTATTGATCTGTACTAATTAGCTAAGGATGCAATATTACTTAACTATGAGAATTATGAGTCTTTCAGATCTGGAAAGTGGCATAATTAGAGATGGATACTATTGCATGATAACATGTATGCATGTATATAGTATCATGCAGTATATGTGTATGTATATGTCATTATGCATCTAATATATCCATATAAATTTATCAAGTGATATAGATTATCACTAAAAATACGTTAATTAAAAATACTATCATCAGATCCTATTTGGACTTACTATAATAAACTTGGACATGTACCTGATTTTTAACAAAAAAGAGTAAAATATCAAAAGTGCAAGTATCAAATCAACTATATTTTATGACCAGCTCAAGCTTATTTTTGAAAATATGATCAAATTACTATTGAACAATGATAAAGATACTTTGGTAAATCTTATCAAGAAGTAACAATATCAATAAATAATAGTAATTTGTTAAATAGACAAATTACTAACTATATTAAAATTGATAATATGATATTTACAGAACAAAAAATACTTGAATTAACATTTGCATGATCAATATTTTATTATGGATTATTTTTATCATTACCTAAGATGGAGCCAATCAAAGATCTTTAGAAAAAAGCATAATCTACTTTTAAATTATCAAGTCAAAAAAAGCTTTCTATAACATTATTAGATATTATATATAATAAAAGTAAAATTGAAATTATATCATTACTCAATGAGTGTAAAAATCTATGTCTAATTTCTGATGAATAGTATTTATATTTATATTTATTTAATTTTTTCTTTATTAATTATTAATTTTTAATAAATTATTAAATATATAGATCAAATTTAATACAAGAATATTGGACAAACTTTATCTTAACTACATCAACTCCTGTCTTTTATTCTGCTTATCCAATCAAAACAAAATATCAAGATGCTAATGCAGTTGCTCAAGATTTATCTGCTATTATAAGACAAGTTGGACAATCAAAAATTTCTGTTGTTATTACTGATAATGTATCAGTAATGAAAAAAGCATGAAGAATACTAAAAATTGAATATCTATCAGTTTTATTTCTTGGATGTATTGCATACAGCTTGAATCTTTTAGTAAGTGATATCATAAAAATATCTTGATATGCTTAGTTAATGAAAGAAGCTAAAAAACTTGTTAAATATTTTAAAATTCATCAAATTCTGGTAGTAATTCTCAAAAAATATCAATTATCCAGCTATAATCATTGAAATTTACTCAAATATCCAGTCAAGACACGTTAAGGATCAGTTGCCATATGTTTAAACTCAATTTATCAATCAACTGGCACTTGAGTTGGCTAATATTAAAATAATTCAAGCTTCTATAATTAATATTTCTGAAATAATTTCTGATATAATTGTAAGTGAGAATTTTTGGCAAGAGATACAATTACTACTTATAGTACTTAATATATTAGTTACTGATATTGCAATCTTTGAATCTGATACTCCACATCTTGCACTTTTTTATCATTAGTATTACCAATAACTCATCTCAAATGATATGTTATTTTATTTTATTAATAAATATTCATATTTATAATTTTAACTAATAACAAAATTATATATTAGTTTATATTTTTCTGAAAGTAGAAGATAAGATACAAAAAATATTATATAATCATTAGTCAAAAATATATCATCCCATGATGACAATGGCAAATTTACTTGATTCACAATATCTTGATAAAGATCTTTTAGCTAATGGTATGATAATAATTTCAAACTTTATTTACCAATATTATCCACATGATGCCAATATTATTTGGAAACAATTACTTCAATATAAGACACAAACCGGAATTTTTAATATCAAGCTAACTTGGAAGACAATTAGTAAAATTGATCTGATTATATAGTGGAAAGGTAACTTTAATACTATAGTATCACAACTTTGCAAGCTGGCTATTTGAATTCTTATAATTCCATTATTCTTGGCTATCTCAGAGTGTAATTGGTCTGCTTTTTCATATATTCATGACAAGAAAAGAAATTAATTAACAGATGAAAGATTATTAAAGTTAGTTTATATTTATAGTAATTATAAACTTACTCTATCTCATTTTGAATCAGTTGATATATTGAAATTCATAGCATGTGCAGAAGAAAGATCTACCAATGAGATTTTGTAACTAAATAATATTGGAATGTGAGATCCAGTTGGAGAAAAGGAAGTTTTATCTAAAGAAACTGATATAGAAGATTCTGAAAGAGACAGTATAGAAAATTCTGAAGAAAGTGAGGAAGAAGACATTAATAAATCAGAGTCTGAATCAGAAGAATTGGAAAGTGAAGAGAAATAATTAATGAATTATAATATATTTTTGCGCTAATATCTTTATTATAGCAAAAAAATATTGAATATAATTTTTTTTATTAATTTTTAATAAACTCAATAATTTGCTTATCTTTTGTATATATAATTTGCTTTCTATGGAATATTTTAGTTTATCACAGCCAGAAAACTCAATTCTTTCAGCTTGACAAAGATATTATATTAGTTTTGATAATAAAGCTTCAATCTTTCATTTTACTGTCATTTTCAATACTATCATTTATTTGTGTCAAGTTTTAGTAATATTGAAAGATTAAAATATTCAAGTAAAGTAGTAAACATATTATTTATATCAGTCACTTTTTTTTTCTTTCTGTCTCTTCTTATTATTCTTTTTCTCTTCTGTCCTTCTCTCTTTCCTTCTCAAGACCAAGTAAAATTCTGGTTTTTATGCTACTATCATATGTTAAATCTATACTGCAATAATATATAATATCATGCATAATATTATATATGTATGTATACTGCATAATATACATGATGTGCATAAAAAATCTAAAATGCAGTGATTTGCCTATCTCTAGATATAATACTTGATAATTTTTTAATCTAATTAATTATATCATATATTGTAGATTTAAGAAAATTTGTTATTCACATAATTTCTGCAGATTTCTGGATATTATTTGCCTAAAGCTAACTTATTACCATTTTTTATACTTCATGCTTGGAAATGTGTGATATTTTTTTTTATTTTTTTATTAACAAATGTAAAAACTGATGATAAAAATATTTACATTATTGTATTTATTATTAAATAAAGCAATTCCAATTTTATACACGTATTAATTTAAAATTAGTAAAGTTACATAATATTTTGTACATCAGATTGATATTCTAAATATTTATGTTAATCATTATATATTCTATTCACATCTTTTGATAAGTTTTTTATAAGAATTAGAAGTCTTTTTATATTTGTAGAAATAAAATACTATGCTTTGAAAAGGCTCTTTAATATTTTTAGCCTTTTAATCTTGTTTATTTTATATATTTATAGGCTTAACAGATTAATATTCTATATAAGTATCTTCTTAATATTTTCTCTCTTGATATTAGTATCTTTTATTTTGATATCAGTATTTATTATCTGATATTAATATCTATTATAATATTAATACTTAAATTCTTGTAATATTTAGTCACATTAGTAGTCTTTTATACATATATACTAATAGAAATAATAAAAATACTTATAAGATATTATTCACATTTATGATATTTATAATTAGTTATAGAGAATATTAAATATATTAACCTAATAATATATTACAAAATCAAGAAAATTAAGAAGTAAGAATATTGTAATCAATTATCTATTTATGTAATGTAATAGATATGATACAGCTGCAGTACATGATGCAGTAATCACTGATCATTACTAAATCAGATAAATAAGTAATTTATATTAATTAATCTTATTTATAATTAATTCTATTTTTAATTTATAT